ACGATAAGTAAGAGGATTCAGATACATCCGTTAGGAATGTTACGGTATATCCTCGCGCAAACAATGGCTTTCATTATCCGCTGTCTTTAGCACAGCGTCCTGGGTTACGGTACAAGAGTTAATCGGAGAACGAACACCTGACGACGATTTCCTTGATCTATGGAAATTTTATCGTACGATTAATAACGCGGTTGCTGTTACCTCCGGATGCTGTTGTAGCCATTCCACGAATCCTCGTACGCTTCTCAAATCCAATATATCTTTCCAAACGACTTCCATCGTTTCGATATCCTTGGGCACGTTCTCGCATTGCAGCCATTTCTTTCGCACCTGATTATTAGGCGGCACGAATCGAAGCTTCCAAGGCATAGCGGTGCCAAAAGCTTTTACTTTCGCCGATGTTTCTTCCGCTTTCGCGTCTTTCATTACATGCTTCTTCGTCATCGTGAGCTTGCTCGCACCGGGTGTGTTTCTCGTTAAAGCTACCTCTGCAGGTACCACCGGCATTTCCTGGATCGACATCTGTTTGAAAGAAAAAAGAGAACAGATGAAAACAAGGAATAAAGTGTTCAGACGCAATTAAACGAGACAGCTGAGCAAACTTCTCGCGAGATTCAAATGGAAGAGGATGCTTGCTTCCGAAACGTGCTGTTCAAAGTAATTAGAGTCTCGTTGCCGATATTTAACAGGAATTAAATATTCTCCGACTGTACGATCGTTCGTCGCTGTGAATAATCGTTTGCAGGAAGCGAGTAAATATTAGAAAGATTAAAAGCTGTCTCAAGAGCATACGTATAAAGGACATGAACGATATTTCTCTTTAACCTGCATCGCTCTGCAAGCTTCGGCGCTGAAATCGATTTCAAACATATCCCTGAGAACCTCCTCGTCGATGACGTTATCCGTCCCGCCTAAAGTTTCGACCCATTGGCAAAAATCCTTGCATATCTTTCTCATCGAGTTTTCGGCTCTCATTTCCAGCGTAGCGTCCGGATCGTAGCCTTCGAGATCGCGTTCCGTCAAAGGACGCCACGTAACCACCTGACGCGTAAAGAGATTATTCGTCTTTTTTTTTCTTCCCTTTCGACCGACATTTTCTATTTCATTTTCTTTCCCTTTTCTTTTTTTCCTTTTTTTTTTCTTTTTCTCCCTGGCCGTTAGGAGATTACTCTATCGCTATCAGTCCGATATCGCACCTTACGTCTTGGTTTCATCAGAAATAGAGCGTAAGGATTGTATCTACGACGACCCACTTTCTCCTTGTCAGCGAGCGATTCGGTGTCTCTCGGTGTCGGTGGATGCACCTTGATAATTATAAAAAAAGGCTATCTTTAAAAAGACGAACCAAAGTGGAGCAACTTGTTAAACTAAAAATAGTGAGCGCACGATACGAGGACGTTTGCTCTCTGCTTTAAAAGAACAGACGGTAATATCAAACGTACTTCTAAACTATCATGCGTGGACAACGTGTCTTCGGTAATTTGCGTTTTACCGATGTCGAACGGATCTTCGAACACAGCTTCCCTCTTCTTTGGAAGCTGTTCCGGCATTCCCAGCAAAGGTGCGACGAGATTGTAAGTCTTTCGAGGTAGGACACGTCTGAGGAGACGGGAATTACACACGGGTGGCTGATTGACGGAGAAGGATAAGTTAGAGGGGAATTTATCAGCATACAAATAACGTTTAGAATCGACTAATAACCTTGTCAAATTCGTAATCATCTTATTACGTTCTTTCACGTTCGAATCGGCGTTCTCGTTATCGTTCTTTAATCGTTCCGAAAATTCTTTGCACAATATTTCCAACATATCTATCGACGAAACGTTCTCATCGAGATTTTTCAAAATTTCTACGATCTCGTGCGGTTGCGTAAGCGGCAATTTCGTCCGGGCTCTCGCGAAATCCGTAGCGGATAATGTTTTCAAAAGGTTGTCGTCGCGAGTAGCGTCCAATTCTCGTAATGCGGCGTTCGACGCGTCCCGATCTATTTCCGAGCTATTGGACGCGGTATCCATCGATACAGAAAAACCAGCGAAACTAGTTTCCTTTCTGAGAACGTGTCGTTGCTTTGCCGTACTTGCTTCGCCATTTCCAAGCATCAGTTTGTCCAGCACGGATTTTGCTTTCGTTAAAGGAGGCGGAGGTGGCTTCTCGTCCTCGCCTGTTTCGCCCTTCTCAAGGACTTCTCCAGGCACGGCTCTTGATCTTGCCGAAATGTCGCCGTAAATATCGATAGAAACGCTTTTCTTCAATGGCATCGACTCGAGCAAGGCAATTCGATCTTGCAAAGTCGTCGGTTTTCTGCTTCTTAAAGCTCGCAGGGGCTCTAAGCTCGGCCTGAAATTCGTGGGGGCATGACAGGGTACTAAGTATTTCGGCTTAGGTAGATCGTCGCTGACCGAAACTACAATCGAATCGTCTTCATCGGAGCTTATGCTGCGAGACGAAGAGGGAACCTTCGTTCGTTCCAGTGACGTAACACGCGTAACATCTATCGTAGCTTCGTTTAAATTCGTCAAAGTCGTGTCATCGTCTTGTCGATCCTCTTTGGCTTTCTTCGCGATCACATTAGACGAAGGCTCTGACTCTGAGATACTTTTTCCCTCCTCTTCGTCCTTTAGTCCTTTCCCTACTTGGTCTTCTTCGAGAGAGTAAGTGGCATCCGCAATCTCGACCACGTTTTCAAAGTCATCAGATTCGACGAATGCAACGTCGCATTCAAATCTAAGGTCCGCCTTATCAACTTGGTCGGTCAAAACTCTTTCCACTTGGTCCTCGAAGTTTGGTATGTTCAGAGAACTCGAGTCGCTATCTTCTAACGAATCCGTGGGTGATATCACTTTCGTGTCTTCTGCGATGATTCTTCGCAAAGCGGTTCTAGGTAGAGATACTTTTCGTTGCACCGGAGTTTCGAACAATTTATACATACACGGTAAACATTTGTCGCGATTCCTCCTTGGGAAACTGGATAATTTTGGAATTGACGAAAGAATACGACTCGATGGATTTTCCCGGTTCTCCGGGTAGACGAATTCTGGACTTGGCCCTGATGTGTAACGCGATCCCGTAGAAATGGTTCTTGAAATTGTCTCGTCGGATTTCAAAGATGGACATTGGACGTCGGTGCGCGTGAATTCTGAATCCTCGAGCGACTTCTCTTCAGAAATCGTCTGCAAATCGTGAACATTTGAAGATTCTTCGCTTTGCTTATCTTTCTCGATGCGTTTAATCCTTGGGAGCTCTCGTTTTCCATCGTCACTCGCGAAAGAACCGTCTCTTAATTTCAAAACTTGTTCTTCTTGCAGATTGTCGAAAGGTTTGAATTTGAAATCCAGATCTTTGTTCTTCGTTAAACGCTTCAACGCCTTGTAGGCAAAACGAGCGGAATACTTTAAGTAATCTTCATCCGTTAATGTGTCTTCATTTTCTTCTTTGATTTGATTCGTCGTAGATCGAAAATCTGCCACAAGTTTCTTATCTTCTGCTTTGACAATTTTGTGGCGTGTTCGATCCCTCGTCTCGCGGTCTTCTTCGTCCAGTAATCTTAAATGTTTCTGTAATTTTTTCAGTTTCAATCGCAGATCAGACGTCGTAGGGTATGCACCGAGAATTGGTAGAGTCGGGAAATTTTCTCCTTGTACCTTCCGTTCATTTTGGACACTGAAAGAAGTCCGAATATGATCCATTTTACCTGGGCGAATTTTCCGGAAACTAGGTTGAGGATCGTGGCTATCTAATTTTGGAATTCGTACAACTTTAGACGATGTGGTAAGGCAAGCCGTTGTATCCAAACTTTTTGGAGCAGCTCGAAACGATCCCTTTAGTATCGATTTTGGATACGATTTCGTGGCGTCGCAATTCCAATACCTATTCGACTTAAAGTTTGACCTTATGGGAAGCAATTTGTGCAAAGAATTATCGGATGCATCGCAATCGTCTGAGTAAGAGTTAGAAAAAAAATTCCGATTAGATATTTTATCCTGAATATCCGAATTAAGATCAATAAGTTGTGAATCGTTTTTGGAAAAGGTACGATAGGATAATTGAAGGGAAGGGTTTCTTACTGTGATCAGTCTCTTCTCTTCGTCGTCGCAGAATTTCTCCCAGTATTCCTTCGATTTTGCAATCGGATATTCCCATCTGCCAATAAATGAAATTTTTGTCAAATCTATTCACACTAATGTAGAAGTAGTTCCGTAAGTTACGCACCTTTTTCCAGTGATCTTCTTACTTCTGCAATCGTTCTGCTTCTTAGATTCCCGTCTGCACGAGCCACTCATGTTGCGAAAATCTCGAATATATTTAAACGTGTACACGTTCACTATCTATTTACAAGGAATATTTTTAAACCTAACCATTAACCTTACGTCTACGAAGTTTCTTCAAATATTTGATTTCAATTATCGATCAAACAAATTTTGACCAAATTCAGGACATACATACACATGTCGAGAATGTGACGATGTTCTACAGGGTTTACATTGTATACTAATTGTATAGAGAATACCGTACGAAGATATGTCATCGAGTTTCTAACCGATCGACAGTCGTAGAGTATTGTTAGACGTAGTAACAGCAGTTTTCTTCTTTTAATTCGTTACCTCTTAACGTGGCCTTTTCTGATTGTGACAGGGTCAGCACCGTCACAAATTCCATGTGGATCATACATATATTTATATTTATTATACTACGTGCATATGGTTTGAAATTCTATCTATTTCAGTCACTGATTGTATCATACAATAACCTGATAAAAGACTTAATTCAAATCGGTACTATACTCAATCGATAATATCGCATGTGACATGAAAATGATAAGGATGTCAGGCGACACATGAGACACGAGAAAGTATTGCAGGTCACATCTATTCTGTGTCGCGTTTGTCATTCTATCAGTGATTCTAGTACTCTACTGGATCGATAACATCGCATGTGACACGAAAATGGTAAGTTCAGGTAAACCCCAAAACGTCGTACTCGAAAAAGCATTGCATATCACGTTTATTCTGTACCTCGTCTATTATATTACAAAAAAATAACTATTTAGATCAAATTTTTCATAATTCTATCCTTTTATATATTAGGCCATAGTAATGTAGAAATAACTTTTTTTTTTTTAAATAAATGTAACTCTTCTTAGAAACCCTGTCTTATTACAAACTAAAACTTACCAGTTACAGAAATCTAGGAACTTTTTGATATTTGATGGTTGTGGCAGAATGGTTGTAACCATAAAGAAATGCTCATTACAAACTAATATGTAATAATAATTACCTTGTTTTTTATTTATATTACAAAATGTCAGAATTCGGTGATTTAATAAATGCTGTTGCATGCTTGAATAAAAGTGTTTCCAATTTTCCAATTGGAGCGATATCGATAGAAGATTTTAAACCAGTTGAAGAAAAAATTACAGCCACACGAGAATTATTGAAGTGTCTAAATGCCAAGTTATTGATACTTAAAGCACAACATGATTTTTGTATGCCATAAAATTATTACATACCAACCAGACCTTGATGGTGTAAATATTATGTCCTACCATAATTTTAGATACAGCAACTGAAGAACCAGTGGAAGATCTAAGAGACACAGTAACAAATTTGCATGAAGCAACAGCGAGTTCTCTTATAACTAATACAGCGATTAAACTATGTCTTCATTCCCATAGCATTCAAGCTATTTTGGAAGGCAAAGAAGGTAACAGTGATATGCAAAGGTATAAAGAATCAAACAATCTAATCTTGAAAATTTAGAATTGAAAGAAAATATTTAACTGTTCTAATATGTTTCTAGAAAAATTTATGCATATATGCGTAAGCTTTTTAGTTTGAACGACAATATTTTAATAATACAAAAGGAAATAGACAATGCGATAAAGGAGCAGTTAGAATTAAAAATTCAATGTCGCAATGCATTGTTTGAGCACAAACAATTTTTGAAGGAACAGGAGGAAATATGCAACAAAAAACTAAAAGAAATGAACCCTGAGTTAGCAATGTAAGTACATATGCGCTTAATAATACATTAGTGAGATTTTTAACTCAAATTTTACTAAATGTTTTCAGAAATAAGGAAAAAATAAATAGAACTATAAGAAAGATTAATATAATGAAAAAATTAATTGTAAATTTTATTGCTGCTTCTAATCATATGTTATATAAAGATCCATTTTTTGTAAAAATGCTAGAAGAACATAGAGAGCTAGTTAATATTGAAACAGTGCTAAAAATGTGTCAAAGTAATTTTGAGAGCAAAGAAAATAAAAGCAGCTAAATATTTAAAAGAATAATATTTATGTAACATTTTATATCATTTATTACTTTTGTACTTTAGCTTGTACTATATTTTTTATGCAACAATATTTCAATTAAGAACAAGATTTCAAATAAAACATACTACAGTACTTTTTAAATAAAACACTTTTGCTATTATTAGGTACAAACTTTTTTGTTAATGTAATGTAAATACTAAGATCATTGTAAAGGATGAAGAAACTTTAAAGCACATCGTGTATCATTTTCTTTTGTTTTATAGAAGAAATGTATATGAAATGAAAATTCTTAAAACAAAATAAAAAAACTTAAAAATTAGATCTTTTGTATTCTCTCTATTTACCGCATACTAATATAACTTGAAGCTTTGGAAACAAGTTCTTTTTCTACAATATGCGTTGAAAAAGAGAATAAAAGAAGCTCCAAATGTGTAGTCAAGTAGTCAATTTGCATAGTCAAAATAAAAACATACAAGAAATCCAGTAAGAACTTCTTTTGTTTGACTAAGTGCGCAGGCACAACGCTTATTTACAGGAAAAAATTTTCGCGCAATTTCAATGTCTTTTTCAAATTCTATTAAAGCGATTTTTATCAGACGGTTTTATGTGTACATATATATATATATATATATATATACACACACATATACATATACATATATATATACATAAATATATATGGTATATATATATATATTAATCGATAAATAACAATTCGTAAGCCAGTGATTACGAATTAAAAGATAGGATTTCAATCACAGCTTACAAGTACGATAGAAATGTATTATGTAGGGGAGAGAGGTGCACATTTGTTGACAAAACTAATGAGGACATGATCCATCTTGTAAATTACATTATATCATCTATATTACGTGAATTTAACGCGTGAAATTTTTATGGTCCGGTGTGTCTTTCAGTCTCGTGTTTTTTCACCATTAGGATGCAAACCGCTCTCCGCCCCTCGTATTCCAACGCTTGCTGGCGTAAACACAGAATCCATCGGAATAGTACTCAAACAATTTAATTTCTATGTACATTAATCTTCTTTTTTTTTTTATCTTTAATAGATTATTAGTTTCGTAAGTGGAAAGAAAACGAATCCACTAATAGAATAACAAAAGCACGTTAAAAGTGAACAATGTCGTTCCATTAATATAATAGAATATTCTCGCTCAAAAACTTCAGACGTCATTGTCTTTGTGTTTGTAGACATGTACGAAATGGACAAAATATCTTCGGAAAGCATCTTCGATACTTTTAAATTGTCTCTATAAATTAGAAAATGGAATAATTCATTAGCAATTTCCATACTCTTCTTCGTTCGATTTCGTCACAAAGAACACATTCACTTCTCACTGGCATCATTTATGATTACGCGGTAATAAAATTAGTCGATCACTGCCGTTGCGAGACAGTGGTAATTACTGTAGTAACAATACAGCTTAGTAATCGCCATTATTGATATTGTTTATGCATATATGTATATGTATATATAATCTGAAGCTGATACATGTCCGGATATCCGACATTTCACATATTTTAACTTTTCGTGTTTCCGTGTGCGTACTTCTATATCCATTCCAATAATTCTTATTTACAAAAATGAATCGTCGCCCGATTTTTATTTTTTCTTTCCATAGCATAACGTCTCCTCACTATATCGATAAACTTCTCAAAATTTCTATAACGTCATCAATCACACTCATTACATGGGCATACTATCATAATGCACATGAGCTGCCAATTCCATATAAATGGCAAATAATCATCGAACACAAGCTGCAGAATGCTTTAACAACGAATACATGCTACACAAACTTTTATAATAATAATTAAAACCGTACATTATCTAGATCATGTTCGCAGAGCGAAATGTATCACGTGAAAAATTCACTTAAAAAAAAAAAAAAAAAAAAAACGCGACACATTGATTAACATATTAGCTAGAATTGAATGCGTTTTTTTTTCTTTTTAAATAAATGTTACTAACATTCCAAGGCAAATATTTTAAAGACAGATCAAAATTTAATAATAGCTTTACAAACTTTAGCCCTTGCCTTACAATGAAAACGAATTGGAAATACATGTAATGGAACAATTAAAGAAGATACCAGTTCCATGCACAGAATGCACACAAAAAATAGTCAGGATTAAAGAAATAATTAAGGAACAAGTCTTGTATAATCGATACAAGAAAAGAAAATATCAAGTAAATTTTTCAACACATGAATAAAATTAATAAATTCCACTTTGTATTAATTACAAAACAAACGATTGAAAAAAGAAACGCAACGGAAATCACGTATCCTCTACGGATTGATTTGCGATCAGCTCGAGTCTTGCTGTAACATGACCGCCTGTCGTTCTCATAATTGAAAAACGAACGATAAGTCGCGAGTTGTAGCAACTCATTAAAAGCGAGGAAATGAAAGACACATACATACATTGATCTCGGTCCGATCTATTCGCACCATTTTACAAATATACAAATAATCGTTTTCAAACTCAATCATTGTTCTATCATTAGTAATGGACGATCGAATTCGTCATTGGGACGAGCATAACAACCTTTTCTATACGAAGTACAAGAATGAATAAGAAAACAAAAATATCGTTAAGAAAAGGGGACATACATCCCGAATAAGATAAGGAAACATTTTCTTAATCGCTCACAACCATACTTAACCAGCAGTCAGTCGTGTTGTATTTAAAAACTGGTGACACATGAAAAATCGACTAAAAAAAAGACTACAAGCTAAATTGCAACATAGTTGCAGCATAATCACGCCAACGATATGTGGCTGGATAGCGATATAAATACGGAGACTCTCTCGTTTCCACAAGATTCACTCGCGCAGTTTTCTTTCTTTCTTTCTTTCTTTCACACGTTCTCACTTTCATTCTCTTGCGTGTGCTCCCTTCCTCCCTCCTCTCACGGAGATAACTCCGTTCCTTAATTTTGGAATTCATTACTAATATATACCCTAATCGCGAAATTTGGTGTGTGTGCATATGTTTGTATGTGTATGTTTGTGTCGTATATGTTCCATCGAGAGATCATGCTTACAAACGATACTAGTAACGAAAAAGTAAGAAAACGTAAGAGGCATTAGCTTCTTAAGCATTCGAGTAACACGAAGATTCGTTCTCTTTCCACATGAAAGCATACACACTGGAGGACAACGGGATCTCCTTCCTCTTCTCTTTGTCTTTCCATCACTCTGGTACTCTGAATTTGTTCTCTTTCACTCCGCCAATCGATACCTCTTTTCTATGTTTTCTCTAGGTCTTACATTACCGCGCTCATTCTCTCCTTCCGTCGTAGCATTTGCATTCGCACTCTTTCGCTGTATACAAATCTACCGTCCGATTGTTCGACATTTACTTGCGCTGGCAAGCTTATAAAAGGAACAATATTCTCGGTACATACTCAGTGGGAAGATACAGATAATAACGAGAAAGGAAATCCACAAAGTTAATAGGTTTAGTTCTCATCTCCATTTAAGCGTATTACTTCAAGACATCCGACGGCCAATAACAGCGTAATACATACAGGTGTGAAGAAGCTAGCGACATAACGTTTCTTTGTTAGTTTCTCTTTTTTTTTTTTTTTGTTTTTTCGTTTTTACATAAATCGTGATACATTCTCTCCTTTCCTTTAGTTTGCAATCTTTCTCTCTCTCTCTCTCTCTCTCTCTCTCTCTAGTGCACCGCTCTCTCGCTTTCGTTCTAAGTACATCGAACGTTTCGTCGTCGGATGTGCTTGGCCAATAATTAATGGATACAACGTGTACGGGCACTCACGGTACGCTAACACGGTACATCGGTATGGCTCGGCAGTGGTACGCAATCGTTGGCCAGACTAGTAGAAGTTCGGACCTTCAGACACGGTAAAGTTAGTACTCGCCGTCTTCACGCGCAGACAAGTGACAGTCTGTCGATTACATCGCCTCTTAAAATATTCCTGTAAGAAGAAAAACATCTTTGCTAGTCAGCCGATTAAACAACTGTCGATGTTGTTTAACAATTCTCTCTAGTTGATCAATCGATTGCGTTTTGTTACAAATTCATTTGGCGAAGTACTGCCCGAATAGACAAGATTTTACTGTGGAAGAAAATGATGGAAAAGACACGTCACAAAGACATCTAATCTGCCCTTTCTTTACTTTCTTTATCAGTCAACAATTATCTAACGGGATGTAATGACATTACAGCAATAGTTTCATTTTTCACTATCATTATTGCCTTTATCAGTTAAATGGTGTATTTGCTTCTGCCTTTACTACTATACTTATAACGATACATGTGTTTACTTTCAAATAGCAATCTTTTGTACATCTATGAAGTAATACTAAGTTATTGGGAATATTTATAGATAATAATATTGTTAGAAAATCTATCGCTTCTTATATAACTTCTTTATATAACTCCACTTTGTCATACAAACAATTAGTAAAAAATAAAAGGACATATTTTTCCGCGACCACGGTACATACTTTTCGAGAATTTTATAACTTCTCAAAAAGGATTTTATTATCTTAATATCTACGTTCCGTATGTCGTAACATGTATCGTCAGGGAATCCTCCAGGAAAATTTAATATCAAGATATACAGAAAACTCGAGACCAAGAAGTAATTCAATTTTTTATTATTAATCAGCCTGCAAATAAACGAACAATACAAGTTTCTCAATTCATAATATGTCTGCACGAGTAAAACGAATAAATTCGTTAGAAACGTATAATTTCCTTCAACGACGTACTTAACGATGTTGAAAATTTGTAACAAAACATCCGATACTATCAACACATCAAATGTTCTTACTTGCTCGTTTAATCGGCAAGGCTGACAAGATCCTTTTCCCCTTCGCCATCGCGCGCATATTTTCACGTTAAGTAATCTCTTCACTGCTTGGGTGCATTTTCAGAACATCCACGGGAATTTGCATATATCACATCGTAACGCTCTTCTTCTCGTAACTTCGTGGCACAAACATATTAAATAAGCTCTCGAGAAAGTTTTCCACAAAGTAAGTGCACAGTACTGTATAACTATGTCACGTACAGTTTTATATTCCTTTTTCTGTCTCTCTCTCCCTCTCTCTCTCTCTCTCCCTCTCTGTCTCTCTCCCTCCCTCTCTCTCTATTTTCTTTTGGTTTTAAATCCAGTTGTGTTCGCGTTGATCTAGCAGACAACGATTCGTTCCAAGGAAATTCTGTTTTATTTTCTTTTGTAGAGTTAAACAGAGACGGTAAAAGTTTGTATTTTTATTGCTTTAAAATCAAACCTATATTGATGTATATTCAATTACAAGCATACTTTGGTTCTCTTTTTTTTTGTTACATTTCTAATAATTATCTTTGTTTAAACACGTGTGTTTCAAGAATAAAAAAATTACTCCGAAATGAACGAGTCCTTTTATAGACGCTAAGATACGATTCAAGAAAGTTTCCCGAATCTTCGTGTTTTGGGTAGAACACGGATCAACTGTGTCGAATACATGTGTATAATTTGTTGATCTACGTCCTATTCAATTTTCACGGTAGATATTAGAATCTACAGAGGAAAATTTGTAATTTCTCTTTTCTTTGTGTTTCGATATGTTATGTAAAATGTAATTTGAATGATTTCTGCGACGTATAGCTTTTACGTGATAAATTCACGGAAGGCATGAAACCGAAATCGAACTGCTTAGAATTACGATCACTTTTATATCGCTCCATTTCCAGGATATATATTGATAATTTGAACAGTCACTCTGTTATACGAAGCTCGGTAAATGATATGCGACTAACTAAAACAATCGATATAAAGCATATGCAGCTCCGTAGCAAAATAGTTCTCGATATATTTTATGTACAGTCAGTGTAATGTTTTCACGTATAATCGTGTACTTATATAGAATAACGACAGGCAGTGTAGGCGTAAAATAAAATTAGTTAAAAATTGTTAACTAAAATACGGTGAGTGCAATTTAGCACGTATCCGTTGCTACCTACAGATAGCGTTAATACTGTTATACCTCGTGTACCGTACAAGATGAACTTAAAAGGATATAATCTTCCATTAAACAAGAAACTACTTGTCAAACTCTCAGCGTCGGCGAAAAGACAAAACGTTTGGAAGATTCGAATGTGAAACGATGAAATCGAAAGATACGCGCGAAAATGATACGTGAATTTCAATCCTACTCGATCGTCTGCTTCTCGTGATCGTCGAAGGGAAAATAAGAAAAAGTTAACTGAAACGATCACGAACTTGAAAAACGTTGTCCTACTGAACGTGCTTGTAACTGATCGGAGTTAAGCATACGCGAACGCGTTTACCTTTTCAGTTTCATGCCTTTCCAGTCGATCAGACTTCACAAGTAATTTGTTTATAAAGTTCGATACAAGCAGGAGTACGCTACGCTCGTTATCCGGGACTTTGAGTAAAATGAGATCTCAGCTTCAATTTTTTTTTTTTTTTTACGATTTAATACACGTATCGTAACACATTTTTGCAATGACGGCGTGTTGAAAAGTGCGCCACCGCGGTACAAGATGAAGGAGTCGTAGGCACAAAACGCGTTCTTTCACCATCGGCACGTCAATTCCTTACTGTTATACGCGTATAGTAACGTAGGTGGAGCGATTTACCAGTACTAAACGGTTGGGATCGACGGTTAAAATTATCCTCAGTCAGCAGTGACAAGTTTACAGTGTATTCGGTAACATCGACGTTAATAAACGATGTTTGATTCGTTTTAAACGATGATCGTAGACGAAGTGACAATAATAATCAGCTAAACGATAATAATAATAAAATAATAAAATAATATAATAATAATATAATATTAATAATAATCGTAATAATAATTGTAAGAACGAAAAGAAGAAGAGCAAAGTTAATCGTGGTAATAATAACGATAATAATAGCAATAATAATAGCAGTAATAATGATGGCTGTGTGGTGGTTTTAATTTGATAACGACGGCGACATGACATCGTGACGATGGTGTGCAGCACCGAATCTTGAGAAGCGGGTCGACTTCCGGCATGTAGCAAGGTAACGGCCTCCCTCATTCCGGATCAACTGCAGCTTTTTCTTGTCCACGGGTTTCTTCGCGCACTGCCGCAACACGTTTCCCAAAAAAAAACTTTATCTGCACTTCTGTTACACGCGCACTGTATTGTCCCCCCCAAGACTGACGATAACAGACAGTCACTTTTGTCTTCCACTTTTCTTCTTCTTCCGCTTGAAGAAACAACAGCATCTGCAAATAAACCAAACACTAATAGGACTTAGAGTCGTCTTCTTTTGATCGCCTTACTCTATGACACCAACATGCAGCACGACAAGGCATTCTAAAGCGGCGACAAACCGAGTTCTTTTCTCAAATCAATTTGCTAAAGTATTAAATTCCAAACGAACAATCGACACACAGGCCACTCGTCAAATAAAAAAAACATAGAGGAACAAAAAGGCAAACAATGGATCTAGGATTACGGTTACGGCTGGTTATAGAGTTTGATTAGAATCGAAATCGTCATGTGTAAAGTCCATATTCTCTTCTTGACTTTAAAGTACATCCGTTACATCGTATATTATGAAACAAAGCAAAGATCATCGAAGTAAAAAAGAAATGAATATTGCAAATAACGTATAACAAGATTAGATAGATAAGGAAAGTCATCGAATATTATATTTTGCCTTTATGTTGCACAAAAGAAAATTCTTTAATGGCCACTTATATCGTGATATTGAAGCAAGTTCAGGAATCGGTCTAGGATCGGCAGTGGACGTAGGAGGGTATAAACTTCGACGTATCATCTTTCCGCATCCACGACAATGCATTTTTGTCGTCGAACATTTCTTTCTGAAATAGGACAGAGAGGACATTTAACACGTATCATGCAAAAAATACTGGTAATACCAAGATTAAAACTGTACAACGAGACAAGGATGTAACTTTTCTATTAATTATCTATCGTATTAGTGTACTCTGTTCAACGTTGGCTTATATTTTTTTTTCTAATACAGTCTTATGCTTCTAATACGTCACATATTCATGCACTAGTTATAGAAGCGTTATTGCCTCGATCTTAATTTATCTTTCGCTTATCAAGGAGAGTTAGCAATCTACTAGTCATACAAAAAGAAAGAAAATATATAAAGCAATCGCAATACTAACTTGGTTTCGTCGACCATGTCCACTTCTTGAGGTGCTGTGATTGGCGTATTAGAATGTCCTGCAGTAGGATCATCATTGGCTAGTTCTCCATTCGTCGAGGACACCACCTAAATACATAACAACGTTATCACCCGAAAGATCGGTTCTACATACATAGACTACTAAAGGATAATCAATTAGTTAAAACAAAAATCTATATCCTCGATATCGATATCTCAAATATGAAATCTTACGATTCCTACCATGAGTTTGAAATATAAAATGCACAGAAAAATACTCTACCAAACTAATACGAAATAGGTGACAAAGATATCTTTATAAACATATACACGTGTATAGATAAATTTCTACGTCGAAGGTCCAAGCCCATAATTTACATCAATCAACAAATATTTGTAAGGCGTCGTTAATTAAACTCTAAAAATATGGTATAGCTGATCAACTTGGTTAACAAATTACTTGTTTTTACTCGCGTCAATTATGTTCTCTCGAACTTCGGGAAAACATGGGAATAAAGAACAAGAGAAAGAGAAGACACGATTATGGAAATGAAGTGAAGACTGGATTAGTGAAGTAGTAACTGAATTAGAAGTGAATCGATCAACGAAACAAACGTTCGCATGCGGCAACAAACCAATTTGCATAAACTTCTAACTGACCATAATCCGGCGTTGCTTTGTCTAGAAATAGAGCGAACGGTTTACTTCGTGGACGCGTCTGCACGTCACCTTCTCGGGCTAAGAAAATGGGGGAACAAAGGCGACAGATGGATAACACGGGCAGGAGGTGCGCTGTCTCTTCCTATTCAAACGTAAACTTACGCTTAAGAGTTCATCGCACGAGATGAATGACATTACAGACACAAGGCGTGATGTTACTTTCTTTTTTTACTGTTACAAAATCAACACACTTTTGTTTCGCTAAAAATATTGTGCAAAAAGACAAAGTCATGTTCGAAATAACATTACTAAAATTATTTATCAATGAAATGGAAATTATAGATCAAACGGATGAAAAACACATAACAGAAGAGAAGAAGAAGAAAGGAAAAGAAAGTGGCTTTTGGATAGGTAAGTGAAATAGATGGGCACAATGGATTGTACAAAGGATTGGCAGGGTTCACTCACCTGTACAGAACCGTGCCTATCAGCGGGTGTCAATGTACCACCAGCTCCTGATTGCTTCGCAGTATCTGTCCTCGAGGTTCCCACCCATTT